GATTACTGTGTCAAAAGGTACCTTTGATTATTCCCTCTATTTCTGAACTTTAATCTTTATACATTGACTTCTTCCCTACTGCCTACAAGCATTTGCAGGTCTCCTCATCCATCAAAAAAAAAAAGTCTTCACTTTATCCTAATATTTCCTGATATTTTTCAGCTCTCTTTCACAATCAAACTCTAGACAAAGTTCTCTACAATCATTGCTTACACTTCCTCTCATCCACTCACTTTTCAACTTCTAATCTGGCTTCTAACCTCAAATCCCATGGAACCTATTCTTCCCAAGCTTATTAGAAATCTATTCTTGGTGACCTCCTTGGTTCCCATGGCTTTGACAATTTTTGTGAGGCAGATAATATTTATATCTGTCCATCCAAACCTTTTATCTTTCTCCTAAATGCTAGTCCCACCTCACCAGCGCCCTGGACATCTTGTGGTTCTATTGGGAAGATCAAACTTAATTTATCTAAAACAGAATTCATTATCTTCTTCCCTAAATTCTGTCCAAAGTTCCTCTTTTCTGTTGAAGGCATTATCACCTTTCTGCAACTCTAGTTTACAACCTTGCAGGTGTCTTCATCCTTCAAATGCAAACATTTGTGAAGTTTGCCCAATTTACCTCTTAGTGGCCAATGGAGATGTCTGAGTCTTAGACCTGAACTATATTCCTAGAACTTCTGTGTTTGGGGGAATGCCTACAGAATACAGAAGGACACTCTGGGTTTGGGCAGAGCCTGAATCTGGTACATAGCAGGCTATTTTCACAGGATTATGGATTTATAATTTGAAGGGACCTTAGAGGCCAATCCCTTCATTTTGCTAATTAGGAAATTGAAGTACAGAGGAGTTATGTAACTTGTCGAGGACCACAGAGCTAGTGAATGGCTGAGACAAAATTTGAACCGTGTCTTCCTTATCCATTATGCCACGCTACATCTCAACATGGCCTTTTGATGTATTTGGTTATATTCTTTTTGTTTCCATAGTAATGATTAAAGTATTATGTTTCTGTGATTGACTCCATTGTGCTATACTCACCTGATTAAAATATAGCAGGAAAGAAAAGAGGGTGGAAATTATTAGGGGATGGAGTTGAGCCAAAATACTAATTAGATAAATACACACAGACCTCAATCCTTGACTTAACTAGAAAAGAGGTAGAGCTACAAAACAGAGGTAACTTGCTTTGAAAGAATTATAGAGAATTCAGAGTTTTTCCAGAATTCTTTCTGGTGTTGAGCATAGCTCTTAATTAGCAAGGGTGATTGTCAACACTTCCCCCACTTCAATGAATAACATCAGGTGACAAGTTAGCAGTGTCCCCCTGGTGGTTAAATATGAGGGCTAATCTGCAATTATTATCACCCAGTGTGTGGGTTTTTTTTTTCAAATCTATTCATGTGGATATAGCTATAATTCTATGTATTTCCTCTAAATTTTTATTTTAAAGAAAATTTTGTGATTCTTTTGAGAAAGGTTCCTCTCTCTCTCCTCCCATCCCCCTTTCTTGGTTTGTTTTCCTGTTGGAAATCCCCTCTTGAAAGGAAGTACTGTTTCATTCTACCTTTAATTTATCCAAATCTTCAAATTTTATATAAAAATTACATAGTTTGCCATCAATTCATATTGTCTAATTGAAACTTTAATTGTACTAATATCCTAAATTTATGCCATGGCTACAGATTTGCATGGTTGCTTGTTTAAGCATTGATATTTGCAGTACACTTTGAGAATGAGATTTAAGCTAAAATGAGAACTATCAGTGCTAAATGTTTAAGAAGTTTATGTGAAACACATAATTGAATTTAATCACCTTTAAAGGACTTTTGAAACCAAGTATGCCTATTTACACCAAAGACAAAGCTTTGGGAGGCATTAATGAATGATTTGGGTGAAGACTTGGAGAGGCAGGCAGTAGTATATGTTACCTGGATCAGTGGTTCATTTTAGAGTCTCTGAAAAGAATAATGGTGGTGGAGAATACCCGGAAACTGGTCACTAGACCACCCACTATAAAGGTCAAATATACTGAGGTGATAATTAAGACTTTCCTAAAAAAGGAATCTCTGAAGATGCTTGAAATGCATGTATGAGAGAATCTCTGAAGATGCTTGAAATGCATGTATGAGAGAAAGTTGACTTCTGGAAGTAGAGAGCAAGCTGGATACAAGCCAGAGCAAGGACTTTCCCTATGGCAAGTTAGGATCCTTCTCAGGAAAGTTGCCTTATCCATCGGTGAGGATCCATTTGAATCTTAAATAGGATATGTTATAGAGACATTATGGTAGTGGCTGGTGATTAAATTCGAAAAATTAGGAAAACTAATGAATAGTCTCAAAGGACAAGTATTCAATTTCATATGTAGTTTGAAAACAGGAATCTAATGTCACAGTAATAGAAATTTTGTAAATGCTAGAGAAAATGATTTGGCTTTACAAAGAATTGACAGCATGCTTATGTGCAATTCCTTAATATTCACCAGCATAAATCATAGAATTCTTCCAAATTCATGCTGCATGTTGAGATCTGGCTTTGAAGGGAACAGTGAAGGCAGATGGATGATGTCATCTATCCATATTCCAAATAAACACTGGGCAGGTGCAGTTTCAAAGACTTCTGATTAGACTCAAAAACATAAAGCAGTACATTTGATATGAGCTATTAGATCCAATACGACTATTTGAGAAAAAATCTGATTTCAAAGGGAGAGAACTTACAAGTATGCTTTCTAAAATATCTTCATATGGATGGGTGATAAAAGCGACATAACAGAAGATCCCATCATCCACATCCAAAGAGAATATCTCAGGGAAAGCTTGATGAAAAATGTAACACTGGGCAACTGTTCCCCTTGGTGAGAAAAAGGCTAATGACCACAAACCATAGAAGTCTCATATAAGTACACTATTATCAGAATGCAAAGAAGATCATATTTCTGCTACAAATATGTACTGACTAGTCACCACTGGTCACAGTCACAGTTAATAAATTGCAGAATATGGACCCAAAAGCATGTTTTCCAATTCCAAGTTCAGTGCCATTTCTACCATATCACACACACAAAAAGATGGAAATTAATGAATAATAAGAGCATTGGTCATGATCATGAGATATAATTTCAGTCTCATAAAAGAATTCCTAATTAGGACATGCATATAGAGAAGTTGGCCAGTCTTATATTCTATAGTTATTACAGTTAGACACCTAATCTTACATATACATATTTGAAAGTATGACAGCAGAAAGATCCTGGATAGGGAATCAGTAAAGCTTAAGGCTCTAGCACTGACTCTAATCACTAACTCTTGAGGTCATGGGCAAGATATAATCTCTCAGGGCTTTGATTTCATCATCTCTAAAATGAAGGGTTTGGACCAGATGATCTGTGAGGTCCTTCCCAGGTATAGGATTAATTAGGCTTGCTGCACTTGTGCTTACACATTCCTTCAATTCCTTATTGTTTTCCTATAGAATATTCATCTCTAGAACTAGAGTTGAGGACTAGGGAAAGGCAAGGTAGGCAGCCACCCAGTGTGCAACAGATGGGGGTGGATATAATTTAGGTGTTTTTTTTTTTTTTTAGAAAGGCACATTTTTTAATTCCAGAAAATTCCATTCTTAATGGTTGATAGGTATACACTGGGTAATAGTCACATGTGCCTCTAGTGGACATCAACACACAAGGGAGGCAATTTTCAAACGTTTCCTAGGGAGCACAAGTCTCACACAATGCCAGTTTGTTAGAGTTTGAATCATCATTGTTCTTTACTGTAAACTACTTGTGTCTTGTCCATAGTAGGCCCTTAATAAACATTTATTGAATTTAACTGGTCAGACAATGCCTTCCTTTCTATCATTCTTCAGTGTATATTGTACATTGTAAATACTCAGTAAACGCGTGCTGTTATCTTGATTAAAAAAAAAAAAAGTCATCCATGTTAAAATTTGCTGAACTGGGCCTGCCTCCACAGCTTTTCTCAATTGTTTAAACTCACCAAAGTAAGACAAAACTTAGTTTTGTCTCAAAAGCCTCACAACCATTGAAGTATGTGTGCCTTTGCCGGACGACAACCCACCAAGTAAAACGCTTGCTTTGGTTTGTCTCTTCCCGGGAAGAAGAATCAGTTATCAGCTGGGAAGGAAATTTCCTTAATCGAGCTTTGGGAAGGGTCGAAGGGAGTTGAAAGTTTTCTCTCCTCGGGGAGGAGAGCCTCGCGGCGCCCGCTCGGCTCGTCCGGGGGCTGAGCCCCGGCACTTCTGGAGGGACTCTTCGCCGCCTCGCCCCCGAGGAGGACAGGAACAGCAGCTGGGGGGGCTCCTGCTCCTCGGGACATCCCGGGAGTCTCCCCCCAGTTTCCCCCAGAGAATGATTCCACATAGGTCCCCTCACAGGGAAAGGGGTAACATCCGGGAGAAGGGCGGGAGGACTGGGAAGAGGACAGGCTTTGGGGCCGCGGGGTGGGGGTGGGGGGCACCGAGGGCAGGGGAGGGACAGGACGCCGCCGCGTGTGGGGGCGGCTCCCGAGGCGGAGGCCGTGGAGGCGGCGGAGGCGGCGGCCACGGTGCACAGACCGTAGCGCGCTGCCGCGGGCCGGCGGGAGGAGGGGGGCGGCGCGGGGCAGCCCCGCCTTTTCCCCCCCCGAGGAGCCGCCGGGCGGCCATATTGCGGAGCTGTCTGCGGTGGCGGCGGCGGAGCGTCTCCTCTCCGGCAGCACAGCACTCATTTCAAACCCAGGACCACTGCCCTCTCCGGGCTCTGGTGGCTCAGTCCCTCATCGGCGGGCAGGGGACGAAACCGGCAACTCCCTCGTCCAGCTTCGACTTTCCTGGGCTTCCCTCCCCCCAGAAAGCGGCGAAGGGGGAGGGGAAAACGAAGTTGGTGACAATCCCTTCCCAAGCCCCGCCGGTCCCCCGGCCCCAGACGGAGGAGGGGGTCTGTGTCTAGCCAACGGAGCTTCGCTCCGAGCCCTGCCGGAGAAGCGCGGGCAGCGCTCCGCCGGCTCTCACTCCCTCGCGCCTCCCGCTCCCCTCGCGCCTCCGGGGCCGCCGCGCGCACCAGGTGAGCGGAGCGGCCAGCCTGTGGGGGGAGGGGCGGCGGAGCGCCGCGGGCTCTCGAGGGCGGCCCAGGTCCGCAGTTCTGCCGGGGCGGTAGTCCGGGGAGGGGACCTTCGGGAGACTGACCTCAACCTAACGGTTCAGCAGGGAGCAAAGTCCGGGGACAGCGTGAGGAGAGGGGGACTTCGGGGCCCGAGACTCTGCTGGCGGCGGGCAGCAAGGAGGGGAAGTTTGAGTGTGGCTGCGGGTAAGGGGACTAGTACTGAGCTTTTCTGTCCCCTCTCCCTCCTCGCCCCATATATGTAATATATAGCATGCAAACGTGTGGGGCACGCATTAGATATGTACGTGTGTACGCACATACACTGAGCGGTTAGTTAAAAAAATACCGACGTCATTCTAAGCTGCGAATTTATTTTTCATTATTCTAAAATGTGGTTTGTTTGACCTTTCTCTTCCTTGCTTGCCACAGTATTATTTCTCTTTCTAATTCCTCGTTTCTCTTCTTCAATTCCCTTGCCCCCCCCACTACACACACACACACACACACACACACTCAGTCTCTCTCTCTCTCTCTCTCTCTCTCTCTCTCTCTCTCTCTCACTCTCTCACTTTCAGCTGGCTCTAATTGATTTGGGATTTTATTGGCTCCCTACTTTTCCCATCTGTAGAGCACTTTAAGAACACTCATATTAATAGAGACATGGATTGAATTCTTAAAGATAGAATAGGAATTACGTAGAATTTTTCTCTTTCAGCTTCCAGGATTGTTAAGGAGGTGCGCTGTTATTAGGTGTGCTTAGCTAAGGTCCTAGTTGGGCAAAGGATGTTGCTTTTACACCACTTTTTTTTGGTCACAGCACAATTCTTCTGAGCTCCACCTCTCTCTTCACCCCTTCACTCCCCTCGCCCCCGCCCTTCCCCTGCCGCCACCTCCCCCATAACTGCAGTAGCGCCGCTACTGCCACTTGGAGATTGCAGGCTGCAGCATATTGTGGTAAGCAGAGGAGAGGTGCCTTGGCCCGGGGGCCGTTCTAGCTTCACTCTCCCTCTTATGCGATCCTTACCTGCTGCTGCTTCAAATGGCTTTAGAGTTTTGCGACTTGTAAGCGTCATATTAGGTATTTCGTATCAGTGTCATCTGTTGTAATTACAGGTTATGCAGATTTTTCTAATCTTTGTGAGTTCCATACTTTGCAAAATCAGCTTTGAAGGTGAACCAAACGTTTATTATGTCTCTAAAGTTAATTTTGACTACAACCTTCAAATGGAGAATTTTTTAAAAACTTATTAAACGTTTAGTTTGTTTTAAAGTTAGGATGGTTTGTTAAATGTCAACTTTTCCAGAACCGTTTGAAGTATAAATTTTGCAAAGTAAATCTTAATGAAGGGCATTGTAATAATCCCCTGGCTTCAATACTGGCATGATGTGATGGCATTAAAAAAAGGTACTTATTGATAAATGGCCATTGCCTTTTATTGTTTACAGAGTCCACACATTAGAAATACTAAATACTGGTTTGCACAATGGGCAGAGCTCTGAATGAACAATTGTTCTGTGTGGAACACTAGATAAATAATGCTCTTAGCCATTTGGGTAAAAACAGAACATAAGGTTGAGGAAAAGAAAAAAAAATGTTGAAAGCACTTTTTAAAAAATTCAGGATTCTCTTGCTTTGTATCAGCATGTTTTAGTCATGGGATATTTATGATGTAAAGGAGAGTTTATCTTTATTTTTAGTTAGCTGAAAATATATACTCTTTTGGGAAGATTGCATTGTATATGATTTTCTTAGTGTGCTGTGTGATTGAGTTAAGATCCTTTTCAACTTCAAAAGCTTCTGTTTATCAGTGGTTAAGACAGTGTTGAGTTAGATAGTAGGCACTTGTTGAATTATTATTAGCATTTCCATATTTCATGGAACTGTGATTGGGGCAGTAGGGGTGGTGAGATCTTGATTGTAGTTCTTCTCCTGACTTTGGTCTTTAGGAGTTGCTGGGGCTATTTTCAGCTAATGATGAGCCTCTTTATTAGTTAAGGGAAAATAACATACAAAAAACACATGTAACTTTTAAGATACATAGATTTAAATACACATTAATCCCTTACTCTTTTAGGAGAAAGGGGCAGAAACATGTCATTTTAAAATTGCAAAATTAAGTTTAATTTAGAAGATTTTATAAAGTGTGGGAGAAAATGCCTATGGGGAATTTACTTTGGAAATAACTTAGAATGGAATGGTTCTCATTTTAAGATGTTTTGGGGGGTGAGGTGAAATGAGTTTTAAAGATGGTTATTCCTCCTGTAGGTGGAATTTAATAAACTTTATTGATCTAACCTCTGACTCTCAAGGGAATTAGAAATAAGAAGAGAGGGTCGTTTCTTGTTGCTTTTGCTTTCCCAAACTCAATTAGGAGAAAGTTGGACTTAATCAAATATATTAATTAGTCTTTGTCATGCTGGCATTGTGATTTATCCTTTATTCATGTTTGTAGCCATTATTTTCAGGTTATCATTGTTCTTGAACAATTACTTTATTGTTGATTTTAGTTTTGCAAGCAGAAATTCTTTTTAATAAAATATTTAATTTAATTATGGAATTATGAAATCTTATTCTTCATACTCCTGTCATTTAAAAATGTGAACTAATCTTTATTATTACTATAAATTGGCAAATTATGCCTAAGGTTGGGAAAATTAGTTTGTGCTGACAGATTGTTTCTCGTGGAGTGATGTAGAGTTGAGGTGATTCTGTTTTTGCTTTGTGAATTTTGAAAGTTGAGAAGGCCTACTTCCTCTAGACAGGATGACTTTACATAGTCGGTCTTATTTTGCATCTGTTGTAATGTGGGGATAGATTGTTATGAACCAACTTTCCTGAGATTCAGATTTTTTTCTGGAACTACAGCAGAGTTAATCATGTCAGTCAGTAGACATTTGTTAAGCACCTACTAAGTGCCAGGCACTGTGCTAAGTGCTGGGGATGCAAAAAAGAGATAAAAGACAGTCTTCCAGCCTTTCCTATTGACTATTTTGAACCTTATGGCCTCACTGAGCAGTTGAGGACCATGCTGGGAGCCTCTACAAATCCTGGCATTCTTCCAAGCCAGTGTTAGATCACATCTTTGGTGTCTTCTCAGCCCTCTTTCCCCCCAACCCTTGTCTGGATCATTTTTTCTGTGTTTATGACCGCTTTTAGTCAGCCTCACAATGGCCACTTGGCCCTGTTATCTTGCTGCTTGAAAATCTTGCCTCTGAAATTTACTATCAAGAACTGTAAGAAACATTGTTTTAGTGTATCACTGCAGTGTTATACTTGCACACCAAAGAGTGCTATTATAAGCAACTCTTTACTGTAACATTATAAACCTTAACTCACTCTAGAAGTGCAAGTAATTGTTACAACTTATGCCTGGGGGAGAATCTGAGCAATCTAATACATAGATATTTTTGGGTCTTAATGTGGGAAAATTTAGGTGTACATTTTAAATAACCATACATATCTTCAGGTTTGCTTTTTATTTAAGGAATAACCTTATACAAAATTGAATTAAGATAATATAGTGCGGATGACTTTAACTGGTGGAAAAATAAACTTAAAATTACCATATTGATTGTGCCATTAAATATGAATTCAATAAGCATCTTACATCCTTTGATTACAATTTCATTTTTTTATATCAATAATAAATCAACAAGTATTTATTAAGTACTTATTATGTGCCATTCTGCTAAGCACTGGGGATGAAAAAAAGGGGAGGATGGACAAAAACAAATCCGAGCTTACCTTTATAGTGGCTGCTAGGTGGTGCAGTAGATATAGCATGGGACTTGAAGTTAGGAAGACATGAGTTCAAATTCTGATTCAGACACTTATTAACTCTAACCCTGGACAAAGCTGTTCTGTGTGTGCCTCAGTCATCATCTGTAAAGTGAGAACAGTAATAGCACCTTCCTCACGAATTGTTATAAGAATCAAATGAGGTAACATATATAAAGTGCTATATAAATACTAGCTGCTGCTCCTCTTATTTACTACAAGTACTATTACTACTTCTTCCCTGTCTCTTCCTGTCTTCCTCTTTATTCTCCCTTCCCTTTCTTTTTCCTCTCCTTTTTCTTTCCCCCTTTCCCCTTCTTTGTTCTTCCTTTTCACCCCTCCCTCTGTCCTCCTTTTCTCTCCTCTTTCTGCCTTTCCTCTTATCCTTTCCCCCTCCCCCTCTCTCTTCTCCTTTCCTCTGTCACCCTTCTTCTCTTTCCCTCCTTCTTTTCCTCTCCCTTTCTCTCCTTTTCCCCTCTTTTCCCTCCACTCTCCCCTGCCTTCTGTCTTCCTCTTCCTGTCGGCCCCCCCACCTCTCTCACATACACACTTTCTCTTTTGGTCAGGACGTGTAAAATTATGGTGTGGGCTAACTCCTTTCAACTATGAAGATCAGCAGCTCTTCTAATTTGTAGTCTTAGAATTTTTGCCAGGAGCACTGAGAAGTTAAATGACTTGTGGGTAGCCATATAGCTAGTATGTGTCAGAGGCAGAAACTGAACCCACTTCTTCTGGACTCCAAAGCAGGTTCGATATTACATCATGTCTCCCTACTATGCCTTATTGATCATATGTTATTTATTTATAGTTGTATTAAGGGGTTATTTTATATCTTTCGTTTTCAGTATTTTTGGCAGTTATAGATAGGAAGAAATCTTGGAAAGAAAATGTAGAATATTTAAAACATGATTTTATTTCATTAATCCTTTTAATAATGAACTCCAGGGCTAAGTATGTTATTTATTCTACAATTACATGTTCTAGGTATTGATTTTTTCATGTGTAGTCAATATTCATCAGGAAGCAAATATAGTTTCAGTCTTATTAAAATATATTCATACATAAGGAAACTCTATCTTGCTATTGACATTAATGGTCATTTAACAACACATCAAAAATATTAATATTGGAGGGTTAGGAGCGAGACTGACCTTCCTCCCCTTACCCCAACCTGAACCAATTC